AGCTCTACCACTGTTATTTAATGTAAGATAATACTAAGAAATATTGTCAATTAAGGTTGGGCAACAGTCACTTTGCCATTTTGGCAGATTCAGCTGGTTGTGTGATTGCCATCTTATGTTATAAAAAAAGGTTTAGTGGGTATGCCTCATTATGGGGAGAATCCCACATAACTTTGATCCCCCCCTTATATAAATAAAGGCTCCGAGCCCCTCAATGTGGAATTAAAATGAATTACACTCACCTCAGAAGAATCCACAACCAAAACATTTGTTCTATAAAATTGCATTCTCTCTCTAAACTTTGTAAAATCATTTAGACACATGTTTAGATTACCTTCCATTATATTATTCTGAAAATAATTAAAAAAAAATTTAGTTACTAGCTTTATCAGTGAAAGTCTATCTATCTTACTAATATTATAAATGCGAAAGTTTAGAAGGATGGATGGATGGACGGATGGATGGATGGATGGATGGATGGATGGATGGATGGATGGATGGATGGATGTTAGCGTTTGTAGCCTAAACGGCTGAACGGATCTCCATGAAATTTGGCACAGATTTAGAGCATAGTCTGCAAGTACACATAGGCTACTTTTTATCCCGGGAATAGTTACGGTTCCCATGGGATTCATTAATTTAGTTTTTTAATGTTCACTCGATCATTCTGCAACGGTTCAACATATCTCATTGAAATTTGGCACAGATATAAAACAAAGTCTGGAGTACACATGTGATTAGCTTCATCCCAGAGAAATGTCCAGTTCCCGAGGGATACGTAACTTTTTGTAATTTATATAGTTCGTATGTTTTCTAATACCACGCGGACGAAGTCGCGGGTAACAGCTCGTACTATTATAATAAAACGTAAACACACACTTCTTTGTTGCCTAACATGTCAGCAATTATAGCATATTTTTTAATAATTCTTTTTGTAATAAAAAGCCCTACACTTATGTCATGCTTTAGACTATGTGTTTTCATGCCATTAAACATAGGGGGTTAATATTTTGGATAAAAACTGCAATGTGGGAATGAGACCATAAGTTGCTGCCAACATCAAGAAAGCAAAATTTCCATAGTAAGGTAATTGGTATTTTGACATTTGCAATTGATTATTTGACACATGTAAACTATAAAATAACATTTTCAAGATTATGCGGATGAAGTCGTAGAGGAACAGCTATATGGATTAAAAAATGACCCGAAATTTCGTCGCGCGATTTTGAGCTAAATTATTTAACTACATCGTAGTCTTTGACTCCAAAAATCAGACAAAAAAAAGAATGGGACCCACCTACAAGCATTACCTTTCGGATAAAAAAAGAATTATCATAATCAGTCCACTAGCGGCGGAGTTATGCCGTAACACACATAAAAAAAAACATACAGACGAATTGAGTACCTCCTTCTTTTGGGAAGTCGGTCAAAAAAAATAACTTACTAAGTAGACTGTGTTCTATTAGTTACAAATTATTAAAATAAAATATAGTGGAATTTATTAAATTATTTGTTGATTTTTAAGTAAGGCCATACATTTTCATAATATTAAGCTTAGAATCAGATGTTTAAGAAAGAATAGCTTTGCAAGGAAGGGACCAAAAACTACAAACCAATAGCAGCAAAGAATCAAGGTTGCCATGGTTACATAAATTCTCAGCCAACATCAAGAACCTTTGTTATCATTTAAGCATTAAAGTGTTTATAATGTTAAGAGGAAAGTTTATAATATTTGTAACTAGCTTTTACCCGCAGCTCTGCTGTGTGGAATAAAAAAAAAGGAAGTAGTAGGTTCTTCCAGATTCCAGACTATCCTCTACATCTATGATAAATTTCATCGAAATCCATTCTACAGTTTAGGCTACAAACTCTAACATCCAACTATACTTTCGCATTTATAATATTAGTATACAGTATAAAATTATTGATATACATACCCTGTATTCAGTGCACATATCAGCTCTAATGAAGACCCTTTGCACCTCCATCGCCACCTGGATAGTGTCCAATAAACGCGTAAAAGATGCCATACGACTCTCACACAAGTAGCACAGTTGAGTGTTCTGCGTAAACTGAAAAAATACCATAGAACACTTGTACACCCATTCAACAGAAATATATAATTAGAATATAAATATGGACAAAAATCTGTTGCAAACTCGCATAGACATACCAATAGAGATGAAAATCGTTTAGGCGTGAGACCTTAAGACTATCAAGTTAATGGATAACTCACTGGTTCCGAATACTTCAAAGCTTCAACGGCCTTCTTGTAGACTTTGGAATACACTAATCGCGTTTCTACGTCGCTTTTGAAACACAACGCACAATGTGCAACTTTTTGAGAATAAACGTCTTTGTAAATTTGCATCAAATCTATTAAAGCCATTTTTAAATCCTTCAAATAAGTAATTAATTACATCACAGTAATCACAAACTGAAATATAGCGAAAACCTCTTTATTATATTTTTGTTTTTACAAATGTAAATAACTTTCATCTTTATTTGACATTTTTTATGTCTCGATTTTTCTCATGGAGACAGAAGTACAGTGTTGCCAATGAAAATTTGTACCCGGCCATATACCTAATGTAAAAAAACCTTTTTATCTAGGAAAAGATCATCCGTAGGCCCTAAGCACAAGTAAAAAAACAAAACCTTTCAATATTAGCTAAATGCCGTTAAACCTTTAAACAGTTTGTTTACGTCCCGGCTTTGTTTTATAAAGGAAATATAAGTAATTTTTTGAGTTTGTACTGATCATTTTATCGACTTTTTTATTCTAAAGATATTTGATAAACTAAAGAAAAACAATAACTTATTTCGAGACGTTAGAAAAGCGGTAGATTCTGCTACAGTTTTTTTGTAATTCAAAACCGTAGAACACGGCAATTGCCATAGCATTGGGTAAAGTCACATGATCACATGTCACTGTACTTCGTTCACTTTACCAATGGACAGACTATTTAGTAAAGTATTTTCCATGGAAGTAATAAGTACTACGAACAACAGGAATGAGTACTACCTGTACATCTTGCAGTTAAAATAAAGAAAACAAAACCTTATGCTAAGGGCATAAGAGTCTTGTTGCACGCCCAATAAAATTGAACTAGAGTGAGAGGGCTACAAGTGTCCCTTTCTAACAGTGACTAGAGTTACCAGATAGCGATTCTTTCGTTTTTTGTAGGAAAATAGGCGATTGATTTAAAGTGCCACAAGGCTCTTGTGGCACCTTTTTGACATTGACAGAATGGCAGCAAGGTAATATGTCCGCATTAGAGGGAAATTCTTTCCTTTTGAAAACGATAACGCAAAGTGTTAAGGAAGTACTTGTATCTTACAATGAAACTAGGAAATGCTCCAGACTTCGTTTGTCGGTTAGAAGGCTCTATAGCTAAAGAATCTTTGTAGCAAACTTTTAGCAATGCACTCTCTTGAGATAGTTAGGGAAGGAATAGTTTTAACATAATAGAAATAGTCTTACTTAGCGCTCATCTACGGAATAATAGAAATCTTAATTTTTGTTGTTTATAATCAAAATACAGTACAACTATGTTGTTAGTTTTTGATACATTAATGAGTACACACAATAATTTCCTTAATACGTAAGTAAATATAAAATTAACGTCAAGAAGGGCATACTTCCAGGTGCAAAGTAAAACACGTTACAATAAAGGGTCGGTCACTGCAATTTAAAATAGGAAATAAAACAATAACATTTTTTATATAACATTATATATAATATAACAGTATATAACATTTTTTAAACAACAAATCTAAAAATATGCGTCGCCTTGAGAGTTAGGGAATTTCTTGATTAACAAATGGTAACAAATTCTGATCGCAACAGACACACGATGATTCACATTTTCAAATGTAATTACTGGACCCCCTACTTCTTCTCAGCGATAAAAAATAATTCCCACTTATAAAAAAACTCTGTTGCACTACTTTTAAATGTTTTCAACATATATTTCATGGAATAACATTAAAAAGCCACACAACATGCGTAAAGTAACGACGCGAAGTGAACTGACAAGCTATGTCACTATTACCCTGACATTTAATGTTACTTTTTGTTGCCGGTTGCCAAAAGAATCATGTACATCTGTAATGTAATGAAGTAAAAACATTTACTTCTAAAATGTTTCAATTTTTTATAATAATTTATTACCGACATGTTAAAGCAATATTATTTGTTGCTACATGTAAAACCTTAATACAAAAATGTAATCAGCAGTCTGTGTGGAAGGAACAGAAAATGAAAAATCTTGTTTGGTAGTTTCATAAATTTTATATTTTCATAGATAATCCGACTGCTTCCGAATATTGTCAAACGATGTCTGGTTTTCTACCATTCCATAGTTCAGTTCATTCTTGTCATTTGAAGTTAAGAGAACAGTACTATTCTGTAAATAAACTGCGTATTTGGACCAAAACTCTTTGCCTATATTCGGATCAAATAAACACCACAATAGTTCGATTATTGCTGCTGCTTTCCTGTGAAATATACCTTCACTGTTCCACGACTAAGCATTCATAGTCATACACGCAGAGCTGCGAGCTGAAAATCGTCGTTGAGCGACTCAAAGAATAAAGTTCAAGTAGTTTTTTTTTATTAATTTATTGTGTAACTCTGCCACTATGCGATATTCGTATATGTTGATGCAAATTGATGCGTGATTTGAAACGTTTCCGACATTGAGGACAGTTGACTGACGCACTCTCCGGCGGGTGGACGTATTTCGTGTGTTGATGTAAACAGAGACGACTTTTAAATTGTTTGCCACATTTCGCACAAATGTGGACTTGACCACCTGGAAGGGAAAAAAATTAGAGACATACAGATAAGAACCAGATTTTATGGACATGTTATGCAACGAAATGATGGGGACATAAACCAGAAAGTGTTAAAATTGAATGTGGATGGCTACAAATGAAGAGGAAGACTGAAGAAAGTATGGATTGTGTGAAAGAGGATATGCTTAAGAAAGGAGTGGATTCAGATATGACGGCTGATAGAGATGTATGGAAGAGCAGCACTTACTGTGCCAACCCTCCATAAGGGATAAGGGCAAGTTGATGATGAGATAAGAACCAGATTTTGTAACTTTCTGAAAGTTACACACATACCAGGCCAGTTAGACAGCGTTGAATTACTGGATTGGTTTTCCTAGCATAATATAGCTAAGTTGCATTGTTGCAGAATTGAAAAAACTTACGCCATCCCACTAATATTATAATTGCGAAAGTTTAGATGGATGGATGTTACAGTTTGTAGCCTAAAATACTAAAAGGATAT